ATGTACATATTTGACACCACTGAGAAGTGGAAGCCATGGTAGGGATGCAATGAGAGTAGTATGAGTCAAGATGAGAACTTCTAGTTGTCCAGGATTTTAAAGCAAGCTGAATTTGGTATGCATATGAGCTGAGTGAAAGGCGGTACAGAAAGGCAGTACGGTTTAGACACAGCCGGCATCTGGGGATGCGAAGAAAGGGAGCAGCAAGTCAAAAGATGACAGATAAACTATAAGCATATGGGGTGAGCTGAATGACATCTGCATCCATGGTAAACAAGGGAGCAAGTACCAGGCGTGACTTCAGGAGAATCAATATCACGCTTTGCTGAGGAACATATTTATTCAGAAATGATTAAATGAGAATACAGAGTGGTTGCACCCTGCGGACTAGATCGTTCTTTATAGAAACCTCTTGCATACATTAAAACATCCTCCTTTCAGCCTTGTTCTTCTCCTTACTGTCTGTAACTGACCTAGTATTTCTCTGGGCCACTAACCCAAAGAGAATATGACTAAAAAGGATCACTGAGGACATTCTGAAGGACATCTGGGCTTTGCACTACTTCTGCTCTCAGAAAGCACCCAGTGAGCTACACCAGCAGGTCACAGAGAATGAGCCTTAGTAAAGGTGGTGGCAGCAGATTTAATTCAGAGGACACTGATGCCTGTGGAGTGGACAGGTTGAGTGCCTCTGGTTTGTTGCCTGTTCTCTTGCTTATTCTGGGTGTCTTGTATCCACTATGAAGTGCCCACCAGTGGTTATTTCATAACTTGGTTGCATTTTCTACTGTGTGGCTGTAAAACTTTTTAGGATATATATTTTCAGCATTATTGCTCCACATGAGGATCTGGAGACTCCAATGCCTGTTTTTATTCTGGGAATGACTTTTCTGGCATTAGTGAACAAAACTGCAAGGCTTAGGGCAAGCTGTAAAGCAAAGAAATGAGGCTGTTCTTGGAAATGCTTTGTTTGACATGCTGTTGATGGACAACCTCCGAGGAGGCCACAAAAGTTGTTCCTTTTGATTTAAATGTTTAGGATGCTTAAAAACCTAAGTTGTTTCTACTGAGAGGTGCTGGACAGAAAACATCCCTTTGTTTATCAGAAGGTGCTAAATATAAATCTCAGGTGACACCAAGAGCTCCATCTTGGCTGATAGAACTGCTGTCTCACTGGGTCCATTCCTGGTGGCCATTACACAAACAGGGACACAATCCACTTTCTGTTGATCCATGTGACGTTCCTGCTGATGGATGCTTGTGGCTGAGAGGGCTTTGCCACCAAGCCATGTGGGAAATGGCCAGCCTGAGGGCTACACCAGCTCACCACAGCTCCTGCTGAGCCAGCCTTCCCCTGCTTGTTGAAGCCCACAACGAATTTCAAGTAATTTGAGTTGATGAGCTAACCATTCCTCATGGAGGGCTAACTCCAGTTCCCTTGGGCTAAGAGCACACATGTGGATAGCAAACCATGAACCACGTGGAGCACTGATTTGCTGACATGCCTGGAAGCCTCTGCACTTCACTGGCTCAGATTGCCTTGAGCCTAGTGTGCGTCTTGACTCCAGACCAGATCCTGCTCTCCTGATTCTTGGGAATCATCAGCATGAAACACCATGAATCTGGTCACATCCCCTCCTAAATTTTTCACTGCCACCCAGATTTGGATAAATATTGTTATTGAGATTCCTCCCCTGCTCATTCTGCAGGGCACTTTTGGGAAAAGTTCTGCTTGTGCAGACCAGCTTCTAGCAGAATCTAACTTCTTCCAGCCCCCTATCACTGAACAATTGCTCTTCGGCTTAAAGAGGTTCTACCAGCCAAATGAGCCTTAGTTATCTCTGAACATGACACTGAGAAGAGTAACAGGGAGGACAGCTCTGGTCTGAGATTAACCTAGGCCTGCCTAGCAGCCAGGACATCAGTAACAGCTGTGTGAAGTCAGCTACTAATCCCTATGGATGACACAGTGAGGTTCACAAAAAAAAAAAAAAAAAGAAAAGCTTCAGGTGAGTTTTATTTCCTTATTTCCTCCAGTTCAACCTTTTTTTTTCCTCCTGTAAAGCACTACTGAATACAACACAATGAATACCTGCTTCTTATCAGGAAGCAGTCATGTGGTGATGCATTTTGATATAGTGCTTTGAGATGAGGGCTGGGAGTTGCCTTCAAATAGTTACTATTACTCCTTTAATGAAATATATAGCTTGACTCCCTCTTTAAATAGCAGAACTATCTTATATTATCAATCATTAAAGCTTGCAAGCCTTTCTCAGACCCATAGATGGCACATTCTAACTATTTGTGCTCTGTAAAGCCAGCACTGGGATGGAGAACAGAACAACCTAAAAGGCAAATTAAAACTGGAACGATTTTTTCCATTGGCAAAGAATACCAGGAGGGCTTATTTTCTCCAAGGTCAGAGGAGAGCAGTGAGGAGTACAGAAGAGACATGGCAGATGCCCACGGTGGAATCCCACCACTACTGCTGAGAAAGGAGATGTGATGGCACAACGTGTTTATATTTTCTTGAAAACAAAAGCAGCCTGGAAAATGAAACAGAAAACATAATACAGATGAGAATTACCAAGAAGCACATTGTAGATGAATCCTGGAAGAAACACAAAATACTCTTCCATGGTAGCTGTATAGTGCTGCAATTGTACACATGATGGTTCAGCTTTTGAAGGCTGATCCACTGTTATGCAGGTGAGTGGCCTCCCCAAACAAGAAAGGCAATAGACAGGAAGGGGTTAAGTCTGTTTCATGAAAGAAGTAGCAGTCAGGAGGCCTGGATAGGAGAGACAAAGCCCTCTGTGCATTTTGTCTTCCTATGCCAAAGTCCAATCCGAGATGTTACAAAAAACTAAGCTTGTATTTTCCTCTCCTGCTTCTTCCAGTTATTTGCTGATGTCATCACCTTCCACTCTTGTCTTCTGAGCACAGCAAAATAACATTGCATGCAAGATCTGGCCCTTGGTCAATAGGAACTATTCAGAACTGCATAAACCAGCAGGGAAAGTCAGAATCCAAGGTAAGGGAACTGGGAACAAGTAGCAAAGTCCTTTAAGACTTTAAGGATGAGAAAGCTAGTTTGCATGAAGATGACCTTATGCTCTCAGAACAGTTTACAAGCAGACCAAACTATGGATCTGCTGAAGCTTCAGTGCTGCATTCTGGTACTGAAAGGCTCATGGAAAAACACAAGGAACAAAATAAGCCAGCACATTGCAGCCTTCCACAGGGATAGCATATAAGGGAGTATGTTCACAGCTTTTCTGATTGCTTATGTGCCAGATGCAGAAGCCAAAATCACTCTGAGCTCAGCAAAATCGATGCCCAAAGCTGTTATCTATTTTTCTGTGCCATAGAAAGAACTAGAGCTGGCTGGCATTTCTGGTGGGACAGTTTTCAGCTTTCCTAGGTAGACTTGTGTACATCTCCAGCATCACCTACAGCAGGATCCCATCCTTGGTGCCCAGACAAAGAGGCACAGAGGGCAGATGGTCAGAGGGCTGCCATCCAGGAGCAGATCAAGAGATTAATGTATTCAACATTTTAAATGTATTGTGTACTTGCTGCTTCATAGACCAATTAGCCTAGAGTCTGAGTAAGCCTTTGGCTCCATCCTTGAAGGAAAAACAGTAGAAATCAGCCTATACACTTCCAAGATGTTGTGTTAGAGGTGAACTCAACAGTATGCCATTTAGTAACCTGGTGGTATGCTGATGAGTCAACTTTCGTTGAGGATTATCACACTTTTTTTGTGGATTTTGGCATCTTCTGCACTGTAAACAAAAGAAAAAATTGCTTTTTTCAGGCCAAAGTTTGCTGTCACAGGGTTAAAGGTACCTTTGTAATCTAAACTGCTATCCATCTGGAGATCTGCAGCAAAGCTCACCAAAAGCTAATAAAATAAACAGTGGATGAAGAGAATTTATATTGGAAATTATACCAATAACAGAATTAGTAAAGCAGGCCACAGGCAGGGGTGCTGAGAATTCACCAGAAATCATACTGATGATGCTCAAAGAACAAAGCCTTATACTTCTTTGTTTTTGTGTACAACAGTGAATTTTTCAGTGTCCTTGAAGCTTGCCAAGAATGGGAAGAAAGGAAAATTATGGAAAGAGCAGAGAATGTACTGAAAATACAGAATGACAAAGGGTAGAGAAATGCCTAATCAGCTTTGATGTGGAGCAGATGTACCCTCTATCCCTCAGGCACGATGCTGAGGCCTCTCAGAAAACAGTGAGGAGGGAAAACTCTCCTGTATCCTATTAGCTTTCACACAGAACCCTCTCAGGAATTAAGATGTGTAGCAAAAACATTTCAAACAGCCCCCTCCAAAACTTTTCCCCATCTGAGAAGAGGAGAAAAAAGCAGCCAGAGCTACAATTACGCTCTTGGGTACAGAGTATTACTTTTCCAAATTACTCCTGAACTCACACACTTCCTAAAGCACCCCATATTACCCTAAGTCTGGGGACTTTTGCTCTGCCTCTTAGAGATATTTAATGTTGTATGAAAGTGTCTAATTAACGTGACAAGCACATGAGAAAGTTACCTATTTTTGATACACCACAATGGCAGCAAATGCGAGACAAAGACATCGGCAGTGTCAATTAACAGTATTAGTTCATATATTTATTTCTAATAACAGAGATGATCCTTCCAAGCCATTAAGTCAGGGAAGCGTTCAAAAAGGGACAGGATGGTACAGATTGCATGGTACCAGCACTGGATCCAAACCCACACTAGAAAGCCTGTGATGACAGCATTGCCGTTAAATCTGTGCAGAAATGTAGGGTGCCATTCTGGATTTTTCAGAGAATAAACTGTGTACTATATGGTCATTTTCTACCATTTGTATGGTTGAAAGTTAGAAATATTCACAGTATTTTAAATGGAAATATTCTTCCATTTCTCTGGCCTGGTCTGTTTAATATGAAGAAAGGACGTTCTTCAGTATTAACCTCTTGCCTATCTGCATTTTTTTAATATTAATTCCTCCAATAAATTGATTAAATAAAGACAAAGAAACGTAAGAATGAGAGTAGTTACCAAGGACACATACAGGTATCCAAAATGCTCCCTGAAGCACTTGGGGCTCAAGCATAATGTGCTGCTACCTCTCCAGTCCTGGTATTTCAAGGAATTGCTAAGGACCATCCCTTTCAGGCCACCCCTTGTGGCCAGTCTGGGCTCACATAAGAGAAAGATTGAAGAAGTACACAGACGACAGCAGGGAGTTGTGAGAAGGGCTACAACTGCGGAGCTCTGTTTGAGCTGAAATAAAGCCTGCTTTATGGCCGTAAGTCCAGCGTCTTATTTCAATCATGTTGGAGTATATGCAGCAAGGAGTCCTTCAGAGATGCCAGTGCCTGAATGAAATTGAAACGCAAAAATAAATAAATAAATAAAATTAGGTATAAAGAGCCCTGAAAGCAAGGTAATTGCATCCAGATGTTTTAAAATTGCTTTCAGAAAGGAGTAAACAAATCCTTCGTGAGCAAGACACGATAGCAGAGGCACAAAGAGTCAGAAACATTTATGGAGAACACTGGGAAAGGCACCTGCTCTTTCAGAGGCATAAAAGCCAACAGCACCCAAAATCTACGTTTTGGATGGTGGCGTTCTGTAGACCTTCAGACTGGTAGGCAGTTAAGGAGAAAGGATTGACATACTAATGAACATGCCACGACAAGTGATGTTGGCCACAAGCTTTTCAGATCTTAATTAAATGTGATAAGATATAAAGAGCGGGCTTACTGAACCACCAGCATGGGGTCACTGCTTGTCACTCATCTTTATACGTAGTCTTAAACAAGAAGGTGAACTAGGAGCCATAGTTGCCTTTTAAAAGATTTAGCACTAGAAATATTTTGTCCTATTTAATTTTATTTCAAAATTTGTATTTTCTTGTTAGGTCAATCTAATTTTTTAAAACTAAAAAAAAAACAAAACCCAACAGCACTTTGAACTGTTATGGGACTTGCAATCTTGCCAAAATGCCATTTTGGTGGCATTTGCCTCCTTGCTCTTCTGCAGGCAATCATTTGAAAGACTCTAAGCCAGAAGCAAGGCCTTGGACCTTCTCCCACCTGCAGCTGGGACTAAAGCATCCATGTGCCCCCCATGATGCTGCAGGCTGTAAAGGCAAAGTCATCAGTAGTTCACAGCTGTGCACTTGGAGGAGGAGAGGTGAAAGCCAGACAGAATTGAGCAACAGTTCAATATGAGATGAAGTTTTTGCACAGTGAGACAAGCCATTATCAGCACAGAACCAAGTAGGAAAGCAATAAAGACCACAGTGATCTTATCAGATTGGGTTCAACTGCATTTCTAGTCACCTTGTTCAGCAAGCCCATTGACAGCTCAGTTAGAGTGAAAGGTGTCCGTGCAAACAAGAGAATATTGATAAAGTGAAGACATTTTCCTCCCGAAAAGTGGAAATCATTCTTTCCCTTTTGGATCATTTCCTGTGTGTCAGGTGCAGAGGTCCCTGTTAGACTTTTCATTGTGATTTGGATTTATTCTGACCTTCATATTCTCCTGCTCCGCTGCCTGTATCTGTCCCAGTCCCTGTAGAAGGTATTGCATGTGAGGGCAGAAGGAATTGTCACAAGCACTGTTTGATCAGAACACTTTCCCAGTATAAACAACCTAAAAGATAGGCAGAAAGATCATGAGAAAACTTACAGGGAAAAAAAATAAAATAGATTCACTTTGCATAGGGACATTTCCTGTATTTGGGATTTGTCAGATTGGCACAGGCTCTGGTGCAAATACAGTTTCCGCAGCTAGTGCTATAAACTACTGCAACCACTTTCCTTTTAGAAGGTGTTTTTTTCCTGCTCTAGAACCGTGGTCTAATGATTTCTTAAGTACTTTATTGCACAGTGCATAAGTATTAAAGATTGTAGAAGTATATTATACGACAGGCACCTCAATTGAACAAGTGAAGATTAACAGCCAAGGAAAGGGAAATAGTCTGCAACAAAATTATTTTTTCTCAGCACTGCAATGAATACAAGTAATGCTAAGTAAGTGACGTCAGAGAACAAACTCTTCAAACAATAGCAGACAAATTCAAAGATGAACAGCACAACTTCCAGCTTTGTTCTTCAGTATTTTCATCAAACCTTGAGAGAGTTCTGCTAAAGTTGAGAAGCACCTTTCACAAGACAACAGAACACAATCACTTGCTATAATCAAGAAGTAGAATTGTTGCTCTCCAGATGGCAGCAAGTCAAGAACAGAAAAGAATACTCACAAATAGCATTGACCACAACTTTGCCATCTAATCAGTGCTTCAAGTGAGGATAGCCACTAACACTTCCTAAACTTTTCATGCTATATAGCTCAGAGCACCTGATGGCCTCCTGCTACTTTGAAGTTCATCAGCCTTTAATCATCATCAGCTGCATCTAGACTTTTTCTGATAGCAGCTCTCCTAACTCCCTGAGAGGTCTGTGTTGTTTAGCCAACCCAATTTGAATACGTTCCTTCTAGGGCATTAGAAACCCTGCTTTTGTAGAATAAGCTCTCATCTGTAACAGTTTTTTCAATCTACAGAGCAATTTCTGGTTCCTCAAGTCCTTTATGCCTGTGCATGGATCCTGTTATCCGTTCACAGTAGTTTGGCTTCATTCTGTTCTCCAGGTGCTTCTGTTTTACTGTACATTGTTTTACTGTCTCCTGGTAGCAACTGGGTTTTCTTACTGATATCAAGTGCTCTTTCTGGTGTTAAATGCCTTCATTTAGCATGCACAACATAAGAACATCAGAATAAAATAGCATAAAGACACAGGTTGAAGTTAGAATAGGGCATCTAAGACAATAAAAGGATAACCCAAGTCTAAGATACTAGGTAGCAAAGGCTGTGTTCAGTCAGCCAAGCAAAACTGTTCACATGCCATTGAAGCATAATTATATGTTTCATATGTATTTGTTACAGGAGGAACCTTATCTTTCAACTCTCCAGCACACACAAGTTGCAGTCAGGACCATCACACCCAAATCACAGTGGCAGAGGTAGCCTGATCTGGACTGCTATTTTGTCTTGGCTCTCTCAGACATGCAAGGGAAAGATGACCCAACTGTGCATGGGTAATCAGCCAAGCTAGTCTAGATTATTTCTGTCTTTAGTTCCCATAACTAGGTCTCTGAAAGGGGTTCTGGAAGTTCTTTCACCCAGCTGTCACCAGTTAATTACAGTTAAGAGTCTTAGTTAAACATTCACATCAACATTTTATTAACAACAACATTAGCATCTGGTTATTCATTGGTATGCTTCATTAAAACTGAACAAATAATTATTTCCAAGAGCATATTGCTATTATTTACATAGAAGATTACTAATGCTGCCAGCTAGAGCTCACATGGACCAGGGACAGGAGGTGTCTTGAAACCACACTGAGTCTGGGCAGAGTAACTAGGTTACACAGCAAGCCTACATTACCAGCAAATATGCATGCACTTCTGCTTAAGTGCCAAAGAAAACAGCTCAGGGAAAGCAAAGGCCTTGCATAACACATCTACATCATTTGCTATAGTAATCTTTCCTCCTTTGCTGAGTGATCTTAGCTGTGTGAATGCTGTTCTTGATGTCTATCTGGTGGAGAAGCACCTAAACAGCTCCAAAGGCAAATCGTGGCTTTTAAGGGTCATTCTTGTGGCCCTGCCTTAAGAGTACTCAACTAACTGAACTAGCACATTTGGTTTGTGATACTGCAGCTAAGAGACGTTTGCCTTAAGTATCTGTTTGCTGAGGTGAAGAGCACAACCAGATTAACTGTGCTTGCTTAGCCTAGTACGCATTCAGAGCTAATGAATGTGCAGTGACTTTATGCTCTACCCTGCTGAGGTCCATGTAAATGTGAGCACTTCAGTGTGAAGCTATGGGCAGTACTAATACCCTCTACTCAGGTTCTCATCTTATCAGCATGCCAGCTTCTTGCTGTCAACACTAGAAGTAGCCTTGGCATAGTAGCCAGAGAGCAGACCTCTGCACAGCTTAGCTCTCCTTTAGCTATAGCAGGGCACCTGCTACTGACCCAGCTGGGAAAGGCAACCACCAAAGAATTTGAGGGAGCCCAAGTTTCTCCATGCACCCTCATCTCTGCTTTTGTGCACCTAAAGTTACCAATAGCACAACAATTTCACAACACAAAGATATGTAGATCTCAGCCAACACCATGAATCAGCAAGAACACCTCAGCTTCTCTTAAGGGTGTAGAAAATATACATTCACAAATCTCTAAATTAATTAAAAGTAACAGAACAGAAACAAGTAATTAATTATTCCATAGCATTACCAAAATTTGGTATTTAAGATAAGATACTAGTATAATCAAATGCTACGCAAGACTAGCTGACATCATCTAAAAGCCTGGCTTAGGACCAGGGGAAAAGCAAGCACTATAAACTGGAAAAACTGTAATTACCATTAACATCTGACACGCATTCCTCCTCTGAGCTTTCTGCTCAGTACCATTTATTTGAAGGGATAAAATATATTTTGTCAATTAAACTTCATCCCTCAGAGCTCTAACTCACCTCCTATGATACATCTCAGCCCGAGACACCTTTTAGGGACCATACTGAAGGACAGCAGCTTTGCTCTTTATGGTCTGCAGGAGGTGGGGCATTGTGGCTGCTCCTCCAGACCTCCTTCTGTGGGGATTTAACTTCACAGCTGTGTGCCATCAGTGATGATTCCCTACTGCTACCCTATTAGCAGCCAAAGGATATGCAAAGCTGGTGGTCAGTCTGTGGTCTTGGGAAACCTCTAAGCACAGGGAGGTCTCAGACAAAGTGACACATTTTGCATGTTGGCTTTTGTGTTTTTTGCTGGTTACGTCTCTGATATTTTACACAGCACAGCTGTATCTGAGCAAATCAGATTTCAGGCAAATGCCACGAGTTGAGAAATGGGAAGTAGAAGAAGCATATGCCATCTGAACCTCGTGGGCAGTGGTGTGATACAGCTGGGCTGGGTCTGCTCCAGCATCTGGTGTTTCGTTCTGCGCAGCACAGTCATACAGGCCCACCCCGCTGCCTTCCAGGCACGGCATTTCCACCCATTGTTTCCTCTGCATTTATGCTCTATCTGGAGCAGCTGGAAAACACAGCTTTAGCATTTTACCCCGGCACCATCCTCTTACCTCATAGTGTTCGAGAAACCTCTGCATTTCTGTCCTAGCTTGCTTGATCTCAGCTGCTGTCTGGTCTGGCTGAGGGTGGGTGTTAAAGCAGCATATAAGGGGCTGTCCATGGCTGTGAGGAGCTTCTACCTCCTCACAGCTGCTCATGATTTTTCCCTCTGTGTGTGTTTGCTGATAATACCTACCACAGCCACCCCACCAACAGTGTGGAGGTGTGGTAGAAAGAGGTTAAGGGAAAAAGAGCCTGAAATCACCCCCAAGGCAGACGTTTCTGTGCATATACAGTGCCTGAAACTGCAGTCACCACGATCTAATTTGGAATCCCTATGGCAATGCCTTTTAAATGCCATTACTATGAGAATAATGATGCTGATGTTTAATGGACAAATAATCCAAGGTGAAATAACACAGTAGGTTTCATAAGCCTAAGCTTTAAAGAAACAAGGCAGACACAACTGTTCCAAGCAGAGGGTCAGAGCAGAAAGTAAATGGATTTTCTTCCAAGCAGCCCTGAAAAATAACCCCACAGTGACACGTTTCCAGGATTCACGTGGAGATGCCACACATCTGGTTGGCTTCTGCTCAGGAAGGCTGTCACAGCTGACCAGTAAACACACACATGATGAGGATCTTCCTTTTTGTCATATCCACAAAAAGCAGCTACAGGGAGATACGGGACTCAAAGCCAAAGCAGATGCTGATCCCCAAGAGGAGGGGCTTCTGCTTGTGTCCCTTGCACCAACTATGGAGAGGACCTATTAAGGTCAGGGCTGTTTCCTAAGCACCAGTTCTAATTGTGGTTCCTGCAATTAGAAAGCATTTCTAGGCAGAAGCAGATCGCAATTGTTTTTGTTTTGTTTTGCTTTGTTTTACAGTGAACACTGTAAAACAGTGTATGAGGAGATAGCTTTGAGCAAGAAGTCCCCTGGGACCACCATGCTATGAAATCCAGAAAAAGTGCCGTGGGTCCATACTCTAAGGGTCTGTCCTTAATCCACTTTCTCAGAAAGGATTCCAGTCTGTCCGAAGAGGATGTTTTTCATTTATACATCATCACATATCCTCACTGTGTTTTGCCATTATTTACTGCTTTGTTTCAAAACACTGGATGTGCTCGTTCTTCTCCAGGGACAGTAATGCAACCTGCTGGCTGGGGAGAGCAGCAGCAGCCCAGAGCTGGGATGAAATGAAGTCCTCTGGGCACAATGCTCTCCCTGAATCTGTTCGCAAAGCTTTTTTGCTCATTTCCCAACCACTAGCTCACCTGTGGGAGCTACACTGCACTTTGTGAGCAGTCACTCAGTGAGGCCAGAGGAACCTGGGGCTAGGACACCCTTCTTCCTCTGTGTTTGCTCAGGAGATAGAACAGTGAGGTTCTCAAGCCTGATTTCATTATTACTTGCTACTAATATTTATCACCTGTGCACTAATAAGTGCAATATCTTCAACTGCTGTCCAGCCCAAAAGACGCAGTGAATGCCAGGCACTGTTTGCCAGAGGACTCTTTCCTTCTTCCAAAATCCAGCTGAAAGCTCCCAGCCACGTGGACATCTGTGTGCTGCCCATCCTGCAGCTGGGGAAGTGATGTTGGAGAGCCGAGCTGGCCAGACGTGCTGGCAGCCAGCTTTTCCCAACCCCACAGCAGCTCCAAACCATCAGTATTAAATGTTGGTCTGACTGAGCTGCTTACACCAGGAATGCTAAATTACAGTGTAGAACAAACCTCTGTGGGACTTGAATTGCTTAGAGAGTAATTTTACTGTGTCTCTGGCATCCTGGGCATGCAGCTGTAATAGTTTTCCCCATCCCTCTTGTTTTCAGTTTAATTGAAGGGTACACGCAACCTCAAAATAAATTAAATATGCACATGCTTAGATATAGTACACACGCACAAATTTTGGTTTTTAATCTGTGCATGTGTTAATATCCACATACTATGGATATATATACTTGCATAGCCACAGACACACTAAGTGCATATATGCAGCAACGTGGGGCTAAAGTAAAGTAGCCCCTGGAGCTACCTATTTCACATTAAGGCTGAACTTTTGATTCCTACCCATGAAGTCCTTCTGCACACCAATAGAGTGAGCATCCCTATTGGCTCACTCATATGTGGGATTTCAAGGGCCAGAGGCAGGTCTTGTAGCCTAGACTGCACTCACTGCAACAAAAGCAGCTTCTTTTTTTTGGCTGTCCAGAAGAGCTGTCATAAATGCAAGCTGTGTTTGATTACCCCTCAGCATAATTTACAAATAAGAAAGGAACCTAATTGCCTGTTCTTACAGGAGAGGAGCACAGAGCAAAAACAAGAGGGATGCACAGGGACCAGTCACCTTTGGCCAGATGAGGCTTAGGACAGAGTGTGTCAATCCCCACCTGCACATCAGGCTGACCCACATGAGGTGTCACTTTTCTGCTCCATGCTGTTGGTGAAAACACAACTGGCAGATTGTACTGTAGTCAGACTCATGCAAACTTCACTCCTGGCAATGCGACGTTGCAGAGAAATCTTCCCAGTCTGCCCTTAGCAGCAAGAGCATTGCTGGTGAGGCAGAGGCTAACACAAGCTTAATTTGGCACCTGTGCAAAATCTCCCATTTGTGCATGAAACGAACATTTCCTTGACCGCTGTGAGGCAATCACATCCAATTTCCTGATCTGTGACTTCTAAAACTTGCTTGCATGAAGAATCGTGGGGGCAAGGGAGCTCAGACAAGCCGGCAGAGGCTGCTGTGGGACCCAGAACTTGAAGGCGCTGGGAAAGCAACAACTACACCAAAGCATTCTGAGAGAACATGAAGCTTGAGAGAAACAGCATGATCATTAAGTGACAGGACAACTGGCAGAAAGCATAAAGGGAAGGAAATAGGGAGTCATTTAATTTTGTTGATTCTCAGATAAAACATAGATCATTTAAAGTTAATTTCATTTAATGTTAATTTTAGTTAGCTCCCATCTGTTGCAGAATTGTAACCTGTGAACTCTAGCTGCTTTTCCTGGCAGTCAATTAGCTCAGTTACCAAACCCCACCACCCTACACCACAGCAGAGCTAACTGTTCCCAGGGGAAGGGCTGGGTGAGGGGATGGGCTGTAACAGACGTTGGTTGCACTGTGGCTCAATGTACAGTTGCAAGACATGTAGGTTCTCTGCTGACAAGAAGGAAATGGTATCTATGTATATCAGGCAAAGCTGTAATTTCCTCTAACATTGGCCCATGTACAATTTTATGCAGAAATGAAGATGTGAAAATATTTCCACGAGTCCTGGCTGAAATATGGAAGAGCTTCAGCCACAGGTCTCAGCTGTTTCTTTTCATGTTACAATTACAGCTGGCTGAAGTCTACTTTTAACACTTGCTTAAGGTGAGTGTTGAGACTGTGAAATAATCCACCCTGGAAAACTGCCCAAGGGACTCAAATAAATCATGTAAAGATGCAGTCAGGTTTTTCAAAACTGGTACTATGCATTGGAAAGGCCTTTACATGCATGTAATGTTGTAATTTACAATGTCAGCAGACCTGAGATCTGAATGCTCCAAGTACCCTTAACACAACTGTAAAATGAAAGGTGCAGTAATTTAAGTCACAAATTTCCTTCTTTCAAAGAACTTGATTTACTGTAACAATCCTTCCTAAGAACACATGCATGCAACACTTTTTATTTAGTGATTGGGTTCAAAAGTCTCAAAGAAGAGCATTAAGCTAGGATGGAACTAATGAATGGTGCAGTGATACCCATGATGGTCTTTGATAGCTGTGTGAATTTGGCAGGAGGGAATGAAATGTTAGCTCCACTCCCATGCACTGCATTTTATATCACACACATTTTTCTAAATGTGGGTGCCCATGGCAGGCTTGCACAGCCCTTGGAGGAAAGGCTTTTGACATTTTAAAAATTCCCATTTCTTCCTAAACTGAAATCTAACCCTGACAGGCCCATGGGCTAAATTAATTCCTTAAGCCCTCTGCCCAATGACAAAATGTATCTGAAGCAGAAAAATGGAAATGTATAATATGCTTTACAAAGCTGAGCAAAGATCCCAAGGGAAGTACTGAAGCAATCAGAACAAATGATCTGCTCCCATGGGTGGAAAAAATGTGTCTATTTCAATCTCATAAATTATTCACCACCAATTATTTGTAAGAAGTCTTTTATGTCCTGGAGATTGAGAGGCCTATCTATGCCTATTAAAATAAGCAGACATGCCTATTATTTTTTCTACAAATGATGAGTTTGCAATGATGATGTGTCAAAAGTGCAGGTGGAGGAGCCTCCCTAGGCTTGGAGCTGCTGGCTGCTGTGTGGTCCTTCCCTACCAAAGCTCAGAAGAAATAAACAGTCTGGTAGGAAGCCACTGGCCTTTGATTTAAAAGAAGGGAAACTAGATAATCTCCTGAAGAAGATGAGCTCCTGCTATACTTTAATCATACTAGTATGTCATTATCCAGAGGAAGATTACACATACGCAT